TGGATCCGCTCCTCTGCTATCAACGAGAGGAACGTCTGTAATACCTCAACAGACAACGAAACAGCCACTTTTTGGTTGTTAAAAAAGGTGCGCTCGTTCAAAACAGTTGCGTTCGATCCTTCGCTGGCTGTGCTGATTTAATCTAGTGGTTCTGTTGTGTTTGTGTTGCAAGTTCAGTGACGCAGGTAGTGACGATTCTCTCCGGCCAATCCGTGATCAGCAGAGTTTACACGTCACATTTTGGTAACGGTATGGTTTGCTTGGAACCTCAACCGTGGTGGTACTAAAAAAAGTACCAGGTACCAGGTACTGTAGCCAGTGGAAAACCCCCCAAAAGTGAACCGTACCGAGCCGTACCGTGCCGTACCGTGCCGTACCATGCAGTGGAAAAGCGCCATAAGTTTAGTGAGCTTCCTACATAAGTAGTATATTAAGGCCTTATGTGTGTGTTCTTGACACAAAGGCTATTTCAAAAGCTGCATACATACTTTTGGCTACATTCTACTCTCTATACATCATGGGGGAAAATAAACTATGCCAGAATGCATTATTACAAGCTCAGCGGGGGAAAAAAGCCTCAGCCGTACCATGCAGTGGAAAAGCGCCATAAGTTTAGTGAGCTTCCTACATAAGTAGTATATTAAGGCCTTATGTGTGTGTTCTTGACACAAAGGCTATTTCAAAAGCTGCATACATACTTTTGGCTACATTCTACTCTCTATACATCATGGGGGGAAAAAAACTATGCCAGAATGCATTATTACAAGCTCAGCGGGGGAAAAAAGCCTCATGAAAGGTACTAATAAAAATGTTCAAAATTATAAAAAATGAACTATTTTAACCCAATGCCAAAAGGAAACACAATGCTTTAATAGCAAAAAACTTTTGAACAAGACGAAGATGTGTAATTTTTTCTTATTTTAAATACATATTTTTTCATTTAGTATTGACCTTTAGAAGCTACAGAAGATACTTAGATGTTTCTCAGAAGACAAGGAAAATACAATTCACCCTAATCTTCAAAATCCTCAATGCATCATGTTTCCATCGTGTTTCCTTTCCTTCGGAGAAAACATCTTTTAAGTAGAATATTACATTCAGTTTGTATGATCCATCTTATTTTGGTGGAATAATTAACATTTTGCAAATTCTGCAAGGTGAATGTAAACTTTTGACCACAACTGTGTTCGTATATATAACATATCTACATAATATTTCAGTTAAGATGCTCCCTTAGAAGCTCATTGGGTTTTCAGAACTGCGCTATAATGTTCTCTGCTCTACTCCACAGAGAACTGACCTTTAAATTAAATGTGACGCCACGCTAAACCGCTGTAGGCGATGCTAATGAAATTTAGTCCCATCATCAACTTCCAGTCGCAATCAAAAATGGCAAATTCTGAAAGTGTGGTAGAGACTACAGCATTTATCTTTTCTCATGCTTGGCTTTCTTAGACGGAACGTGTCTACAGCATCTTGCAAATTAAGAACTAGCTTTCAAAGCTTATTCAGATGCTTTCTACTTGACATTTCTGAAAATGAGATGCTAATGATTTGATACAGAGCAGAAAGTCAGCATCATCTGATCACATTATCATAGCAGCTTCAGTTTCACATTATTGATGGTGTTGAATGTGAAATAGCAATGGGATGCTAATATTATCATTAACATACATTAATTAAAGAAGAGTTAGAGTTAGTCAGTTTAATGCAGCAATTAAGTATATAAAAAACATAAAAAAATAACACATAATTATGCCTTCTGACCAGATATAAATCCTATAATTTTTCGACCATCAAAGCAACTACAGCCAACTCACCTCATCAACTTTGAGTTGAGTTGAAAAATTACGAAGCAACTGAAAAACTGGCTTTTTAAATATCTAATTACTGCAAACTGTAGGCTTATGTTAATATATATGGTAAGAAAACAAAAATTGGCAGAACTGAATACAGACATTGGCTTTGAATATTCAGTATTAAATTCTGCCACAATGGTAACATTATTGAACTATATTAGCTAACATGAACTAAGATTAATAAATGCATTATAAGTATTTTTCATTGTCCATATTAATTTCAACATTTAACACATTATAAAATCAAAAGTTGCATTTTAACATTATTGAAATTAACAGTTGTATTTTTATTAACTAATGTTAACAAATACTGTAACAAATGCATTGCTTGTTAACTAAATTTAACTGATAGACCTTATTGTAAAGTATTACCAATTATCTTCATATTTTCTCTTCATAAAATGTGATATTTGTGATTAATATCAATTAATTTGATGTTTTTTTTTTGTTTTTTTTACTTTTAATAATTAATTATTTTATTAATGGATAAAAGGAGGATTAAACTTATTTTTCCAATATTGTTTTTCTGGAGTTAATGGGTTAAGACAATTTTAAGATTTTAAATATTTTAATTTTACAACATTTTTAACATTTAAAATTAAATTAACATATGAAGAGTTTATTTGCAAAAACAGATAACTCCGGGGTTTTTTTTTTTTCAAAAATAACTTTTTTTAATTGTGTTTTATTGTGTTAGTTAGCTAGTATTTTTTGGTTATTTTTACCTAATCAAAATAACCCAACTGCAGTTTGATTGAGTTTAATTGGAATGCACAATGAAAAAACATGATTTTCGAAAATTGTTAAAAACGGAGTTATCTGTTTTTGCAAATGAACTCTTCATATATTCTCTGAAAACAAGTCTATGTCAGACAACTTTGCTTATCAAGTGCATTTATCTCATTTAAAGGATGCTTATACCATACATTTTTATTGTAAAACAAGACTAAGTTTCTGATTTAGAAAATTATTTTTGCAATAAAGGACTTCTGCATTTGACACTGAAATCTCTGATTTGAAATCGTCTGACTAAAGGCTAATAATACCACAAAAAGCAATGGAAATGAATAAGAGTTAAAACATCTCATGACCGTCTGTGTGCTGTGAACTCATGCTTCAGCAACCGCTCACAAACCTCACTGACTCTTTGTGCCTTGTAAGGCAATGCTAAGTAACCTCTTCATGGCTTTGTTTTCCTTCTTTTTTTCCACCTTCTAGTTTCATACGTGTATATGAGTCATGAGATTGCATAACTAACCCGCAGAAAACTGCCACCAGAACACATGCCTCTTATAAAGTGGGGAAAAAAAGTATTTAGTCAGCCACCAATTGTGCA